TTAATGCCCATCGCTTCAATATTTGATGGGCCGGGAGGCCTGACAGATGTCAGCCGACGCTGGCTTCACAGGTCCGGGGGGGGGAAGAACCAAAGAGCTTAAAAGTTTATGTCTCAATTTCTCCCTCCGTGAGAGGACAGAATAGAGACGGAGAGAAGATTACAAAGAGGCGACAGCATTTCCTGTGATGATCCACCTTTCTGGACCTGCTGCTGGGATTCTCTTACCGGGGCTGTTGTGTATGAACCTGGCTGAGTTGCATGAAGCAATAAACATATCATCATCTAATAAACGTTTGAAATGATCATTTTCTATTCATCTGTTGTGAATATAAGTAGAATTGCTTGTACCCAAAATGTCCTCACTTCATTGTTGTTTGAAATTGGCACAATTAGAAAAGCATATTTTGAGACGCTGTGAGATTTATTGCGTCATAGTTAAGAACGTGTCTTTCAGTTTCTCATCACTTCAACCGTCTGAAGAAAGTTTATTAAGACATTCTGCATTCATCCGAACGGATCAAACGCACAACTCAAACAACATCATCCCTACGGCAACGGCCGTAACAACGGAATTAAACCGCCGTGAAGCTTTGAACTTGCTCTAATAGCAGCTGTAAATATTCGTCCTGAAGTGTTTATTTCTCCATAAGTTGCTCTGGAGCTAATTGGGACAAACAAATGTATCTTCAAGAGGATGCACAGACCTCAATACCAAATAATCCTTTTGCTTTTGACTGCGCAACTGAGTGTTCCACTCAATCGATCAGCGATCCTTTGTGCCAACAGCCCCGTGTTTGCTGTACTCCATTTGATATTGACTAAATCATTTAGCACAGAAGCCGTCCCGGCCCCTTATCTCGCTATCGGATGACTTTTAAATGTTGTGCATGCATCATTCCGCTCAATGAGACCTGCGTGCTCGTTGCCTGTCAATCATTAACACTTCAGCATCATTTACCCATTTAGACTTTCTCCTCCTGCTGAGACACCAGCAGAGACGTCTGTGTTAGTGGCTCATGGATCATTTACTAACAAGGACAGTTGTTGGATTGTCGAGGGGGGGATGACCACTGCTTCGTGCAGGTCGCCCCCCACCCCTCTCCCCCTCTCCCTCCCCCACAGACCGACGGTGACTCGAGAAATGACGACGCTCTCTCTCGACTTAAGAAGCGAGCGGCCCCAAAGCGAGTCCGTCTCCCAAACATCTCAGCGCCGCGGCGTCAGAAGCAGCTGTGATGAACTCCGCCGCCGGGCCTCCGGCTGTCAGGGGGGAGAAATAAATCCTTTTTGTTCAAACACAACCATCTACGAATGAGTGGGAGAGGAGAGGGAGGGCGTCACAGGAAGCAAAGATCATTAAGGGCTGTACAATACGTGTGTGTGTGTGTGTGTGTGTGTGAGCGTTGACCTTTTCACACTGAGGCAACAAGGGAAATCTGTGGTTTGATATGTGGAGTGTGCAGCTCCCCCCCGGCTGCCCCCCACCAGTGAGAAACAAGAGCAAAGAGAGACCAGCAGAATGAATAAACGATGAGGTTTTCATACTGACGGCAGCGTCTAAAAGTGTACGTAACAAACAGCGGGAGACAAAGTGGCTCTACGTGACTTCCTGTTAGCACCACTAGCTAAAGGTAAAGCTAAATTTAACCACTTTTTGAAGGTAAACCTTTCATAATATGCTCAAAACTTTGACGTCTTGTCGACAGTTATTATTTGGTACCATCTGAGGGCGAAAACATCTGAGGGTGTAAACGAAAACCCTCCAGATTTCCCACCAGACACAAATGTAACATGATATATAGAGTATATAAGATTTATACGCAGGTAGAAAATGCTTCACGTGCTCGGTAATATCTTCTACCCATCTGATAATTACATGTTGTCAATTTCACGCCTTCGTACCTGAAATTTGAGTTTCAGTTCAGCCGGTAAGTAAAAGTTCCTCGCGAGGACACATCGGCGCGTCCTCCCTCACTTCCTCTGTGGTTATTTCCGTGCTTGTCGACACACACGCGCACGCATGAGCGGACGGACAGCGGCGGGACGGAAGGACGGGTAATTTCGAGTCGGGGGGAAGGAGGTCAACGAGCCTCGCATCCGTCGCTTTGTGTGGCTGTCACTCCACCGCCCGCCGTGCTGGCTGGACGCGTGTGTGTGTGTGTGTGTGTGTGTGTGCGTAGAGGTTAAAAGGCCTGTGTCAGTCGGCGACCCCCCCTCCCTCCACATCATCCACATTCCATCGCATTCCGCCTGACGACGCCTGAGGTCGCCATGGCTCACCGACGCGGTCGATCAGTTCAATCTGTGATGGGAAAAGTGTCCTAATTTTTGGGAGGGGGGGGGGGAGGAGGGGGGGGGGGCGCATGGGGGGGCGGGGGGGTCCTCTGGATGTGATGGTGACATCTAACAGTACGGTGGAGGGTTTGTTGGTCTGCAGGAAATCAGAAGCAACGTTGAGCGTGCAACACGAGGAGGATTTTGACGCCTCATCTTCAGCTGAGCTAAATCTGTCTGTGTGTTTCTGTTCGCAGTGCGACACAGACGCACAAACACACAATATGGTGCAACAACGTTATTGTTGCCGATTATAGATGCGCAGTCGGAGAGGCACATTTGCATTTTGTAAACATATTCGGACTCGTGACAAGAATCAGTCACAAGGGCCCGAGTGGATGGTGACCTGTGACCCCTGACTGTGTGAGGCAAAATGACAACAAAAAAAAAAACACTGCCGAGGGCGAGCGGGTTGTCTCGCCATCTCGAGTCGTCCCCGCGGCGGGGACGGCGTGCGGACGCGTCTCGACCGCCGGTGGAAGTCAGCAGGCGTCAGAAGTGAAATAAAGGACAAAATCAATGTCTCTTCTGGTTTTCCTCCCCGTGCTGCTGCCACACATCTGCACCTCCGTCTTCTTCTCCGTCCTCGACACGTCACCTCCACGTCACCGCCACGCCAACGCCACGTCACCTCCACGTCACCGCCACGTCACCTCCACGCCAACGCCACCTCAGCCGCTCGCTCTGCTCGGAGCGGGGAGACATTTTGTTTACCCCACCAGCAGGTGGAGAACAAACACAGACCTAAAAGAACTTTTAGACGTTTGTCTAACGGAAACGGGTCAAAGAACGATAACATCTGTAACATCTGCAGGGGCAGCCGCGCGAAATGTATTCACCAAATCCACTCACAATCTGGTGCATGTCGAACACTGAGCCTCTTAATGTCTCCTCGGTGTAAACAAGTAGAGTCGGAAGGCAAACAATCCGGATCTCTGTGGCTCCTTCTCGGTCTGCTACGGCTAATTGGCTCCTCCGAGAGCCCCGTACACACACACACACACACACACACACACACACACACACACAGGACCTCCCAGCCATCTGCTGGGGGGCTGGCACATACGGGTGTTCCTCTGCTCCTCTCAGGTGTGTGTGTGCGTGTGTGTGTGTGTGTGTGTGAGGGGGTGGGAGGTTGAGGGGGGGGGGTTCATCAGCCTGCTGTTGTGTTCGATCAGTCGTGTCTCGTCATTGTAATTTTTTTGCAAAACCTGCAGTTAATGACTCATCTCGAAGCAAATCACACACTCACCTGCCTCCAACACACACACACACACACACACACACACACACACACACACTCACTCACTCATCGAGGCGCATCGTTCATTCACACGGTGCCACAGAGATGCAGAGATGCTGCAGGAGTCTGAAGAGAAGCTCTGCTGACATCAAGCTGTGGAGGCGGAGAAGTGCAGCGCGGTCAGAATCGTGTTCCATGTGCACAGGTGAGATTAGAATCATTAATAAAGCTCAACAATAAAATGACGCAATAATGCATTTTATTAACTGGGGCACTTTGGACCTTTTGTATTTGATCTTGCTGATTTCCTGATGAATGAGAAAAGACGCTCTCAATTCACAACGGGGGAGGAAATCTGTCTTTCATCCCGTCATCTCCACCAGAGGGGGGGGGTGACGGCCCATGATGCACGAGTGCACGTGTGAAATGTGCACGTGAGGTCATGCGTTTTTGTTCAGTGCTTTGAAATGGTCACACACAAATCCAGTTTGTAACAGAGGGAAACTTTCTCTGTGGTGCAGCGTGAAAACGCATCTCTGAAACAAATAAACCTCCTAAATGACATTTTTCCTTCATTTGGATTAACATGCTGCTCTATGGTTTATTACAGTGACAGAGTGACGCTACGCCGCGGTACTGTCCTCCCCATTGGTGGAGGTCTGATATTACTACTGGTGGTAACGCTCACTATCTGCAGCCAGTAACCAGTCCAAACCAGTTTCAGGCTGACTGGGACGTCACAAGGTGTGTTTGTGTGCTTTGTTAATTATGGGATGGAACAATAATTTATCATCTACTGCTGTTGTACATTGTTCTTCTTGGTATTAAAATATTTTGTAATGTTTCCATTGAGCAAACCACGTATTATATAAACCTTTAAGGAACAGTTTGTAACGCGTTGATTAACATTACTGATCACATATTGGGAACATTTTCTCACATTTAAAATAGAGGTTTGCAAACAGTCTATAAAAATGACCGAAGGCTCATTTTGTGTTCAAACTGATGGTTGTACCTTGTTAAACAGTTAATACTTCATAAAGCACACATTAATATTTAGATCGATCGTACAATTTACATTGTAAATAATTGATTCATGGTTCATCAATGTAATGTTTATGTTATTTAAATCACAATATAAATTGTATCATATTAGAAATCATTCTCAAACTAATTTCATAATAGAAGCTAATAAATTACACCATTATTATTACTAAAAATAATAGCAGATTAAATTAAAAAAAACTAAACTTTAACTATGAATTTACCATTTAATAAAGTTATTATAAAGAGACAATTAAAGGCACAGATCACCTGTGAGAAATAAGTTCCTTGTGTATACTTTGAAGAAGTTGTATACTGCGTCTGCAGTTTGTGCGTCCTCCCAGTGCGACAAAAAGAGCACAAAACGAGTCACGGGATTTGAAGTCAAAGAAATACAACTTTATTTAAGTGTAAACAAAAAAACAAATGGAAAATAACTGCATAGGAAATGTTTAAAGTCCACAGAGTACAGAGACAGCAGCAGGGGGCCAAAATATTATAGTCTCCTCCGACTTTAGACTGAAGACCTGACACCTGCACTACAACTCAGCAGGAAGTGTGAGTGTGTTTGAAGAGGGGGGGGGGGGGGGTCTGACTGAACACACACACGGGGGGAGACACACACACGCACACACAGACGAGGATGCGGCAGCAGCAACAATCTAAACTCAGCCGGCCACACTGCCCCGTCCCCCGTCCCCCCACGTGGACTGTTGGGAGGATACATTCAGTGGATTTCTGCTCAAAACATCACGGATGCAGCGCACAAACACAAAAATCCACACTGCGCACAACCGGCTGCCGGCAGGACGCGACAACGCGACACAATACGACAACGCGACACAACGCAAAACCCAACCCGTCTGGACGCGGTGAGCAAAAGGCCCCCGGCTGGTTTACAGGACGTGTCCCACCTCACACTCACACAACGGCTGCTGGGGGACAATTGGCCCCAAAAGCAGAGGGGGAGTGTTGTGTGTTGTGTGTGTGTGCGTTTTGTGCCAGCAGCTGGTTGGCGAGAGTGAGCATCCACGTGATCTCACTGAACCCTTTTCTTCACAAAATACATTCTAAAAGGGCCAGTGAACGTCAGGCGGTCAAGTGTTTGTACTTTAATTTGAAAAAGAAAGTATAATTGGCAAAAAACATTTTTTTTTTAGGAAATAACCCAAATTAATCAGGGAAACCAATCAAAATAATTGTTTCATATTTAGATAATTTGTTTTATAATATGTAAATGAGCACACAAAATAATTAGACTAGTAATGGGAGGTCATCACGTGGGGGGGGGGGGTCACTACGTCATCACTACGGGACACTTTTCAATAAGACACCTGCTGAGAACTACCTGAGTTTTTTACTTTTTTTTTTTTTCTCCTTTCTAAATTTTCGGATTTTTTTTTGTCTTTTTTCTTTTCATCTTTCCGTCTCCGGAGTTCACAATCGTTAAGAGGAGGTCTACGACCTTGAACACGTCACCTGGTGCAGCTTCGTCTCTTAAAGCCTTTGTGAGGCTTCTGAGGCCAGCAATAAAAATAAAACAAAAAAATGTTTAAAAAAAAAAAAAGGAAAGGGGGTTGGAGCGTTCCCGCCACGAGGTCACGACCTCCTGGCGGGTTCGCAGCAGCTCGTCTGCGCTCAGCAGGGAGGAGAAGGAGCAGGTTGAGTCATAGAAGCACTGACGGCTTTTTTCCGTGTGCGGCCGGCTGAACAGGTTCGTGCTCCGGAGAACAGGAAATACAAAATCGGCAGAGGTCAAAAGGTTAATCCCATCCAACGCAATCCGAGCACGCGCACATCTTTGGGTAAACATTTTGGCGAAACCGTCCCCGCTGACGGCTTCCAACCCCGAGTTTTTTCTTTTTTCAACACCGGTCTGAGCGACGTCAATACAATACAAGGACTTTTTAAAGCATGCAACAAAATGAAAAACAAATTTAAAAAAAAGAATTTAAAATACATTTTCCCCCCCTCTTTAAGAGTGAAGACCTTAGATCTTAAAGATATAATTCTGCTATTTTAATAAAATAAAAAAAAACAGATGCAAACATTTCAGAGTAACACTGAAAAGCCAAAGACAATCTTACTGGTGGAACTGAACTGAAGTGTTTTCGGCTTCAAAGCAGCTGGTCTGTGGAATCAAACTGGCTCCCTGTCAACGCGCCGACAGCTGCACCTCAATAACGCGCCGCGGGGCCGCGGCCCTACGACGCGGCGCCGCCCAAAGGTCACCGAATGAAAGATGCGTAACTTGTGCTGAAGTCGGAGGTGGTTCTTGTGCATTAAGAAGGCGGATTCGTGAAGTTCTCATCTCTTTAAAAGAGGCCACCTCCTCTTGCCCTCAGCCCACAGATGCAGCACAAGTGGAATTTTTCATCATCATCATCATATGTTTGAGGTAAAAGATAAATTGGGCCCAGCCCTCTTAAGTGCATCAATCAGAGAGACAGAGCGAGGCAGAGGAGATGCATCCTCGGCCGCTCTGATTTAACATCTGCACCCGTGGCAAAATGGTCCAGCGAGGTTCGCCGTCCCTCGCGGCCCCCGACGCTCCGCCCTGTTTGGCACGGAACGCTCACAGATCATTTTGGCACAATGCTTTCATCTGAAATATTTGGTTTCTTGACGATAAAAAAAAAAGGCAAAGTTCAGCAGACACTTTCCAGTAGATCCGATTAAACCGAAAGCCGCTCAGAAAAAACAGAAATGTGACTTGCCCCCCCCCCACCACCAGACAGTACCATGATCTTTGGTCCTAGAGCTACGGGACATCTACTGTAACACCAGACACTTTCAAAAGAACGAGCTATATTCATAATGCATAAATATCCGACAGCTATGCTTAAATAAAAAAAAACAGTCAAAATGAGGTATTCAGAATGTGTAACCAGTTGAGGTATTTGAGTGACCCACTCGAGGTATTCAGGAGATGAGGAACGCGAGACGGGCGGTAAAACGACCCATCGTGAGGTATGACCACGTGAATCCCCTCAGAGGCGAGAGCCGGGCGCTCGTTCTTTGCACAGGTCCCGAGATGCGTTGCTTGGAACGAAGGAAGTTCCCGACAGAACCAGAATTGTCTAGTGCTTCCAGCGGGACACAGATTGAACGAAGAGAAAAACATTTAGAAAAGAAAAAAAAGGGGCAAAGGGGCAAAAGGGGGGGGGGGTTCAAAACCCCACAATGAGCTAGTGTCGCGTCTACGGTGATTAGATCGGGATGCGAAGGCTAATCTGAGACGCTACTTTGAGTCCAGACGAGGAGGTCGGGTTGAGGTCTCTTTGGTGCAGACGAAACCCGGCTCATGGGCCCGAACAAACGGTGACCCCGACACACTTTATCCTACTGAGCCGAACGGTCCGATGACCCGCAAACTTCCCAGCAACGAGAATTTAAGAGAATGTATTTATATATATTTTTAAGTTTCTTTAAATCGCCAAACCTACAGTCGGCCATTGTGCAGAGATTCTACCTTTGGTTGGTCTATAGACCTCCGTCTTTAGAGGAATCGGTCTACTAGCGCTCGGCCTGGAGAGGTCTCCTCGACTCAACAGCGTCAATAAATAGGGCGGGGCTTTGTGAGCGCACCCTCTCATTGGACCAAACCCCGGGGGGGGGGGGGGGAGATCCAGAGGATTGCAATGTTAATGTTAATGTCCTCTGGACAGCCAGTCGGGGGTCTGCTCGCGAGGCTTTTGTCACACAGCATGCCTCGTCGAAAAAAGGTGTCATTCAAATGATTAAATCTCTACGCGAGGATCGCCAATGGATCCACAGCGCGGATGAAATTCCCCACCAAAATCCTTCGGTGGGCGTTACCTTTTGGGAGGAGACGCCGCGCTCCTTGCATACTTATCTTTGCGTCCTAGTTGTTCATGCAACTGACAGGGAGGGGCGTGGGGGGGGGTCTGATCAGAGGATTTCTATCAATATATTCATCGGATCAGCATTCACCAGTAAAGGGCCTAAAAGGGAGAGGCTGAGAAGTACTGAGCGCTCGGCCCGGGTTTGATTCTGTCTGGTTCCGCGTGGCGGCGTCCGCTCTTCTTGACCCCTCGCTGCTCCAGAGAGAAAAAGGAGCGAAAATCTAACGCGGCTAAAACGCGGAGGAGGACGCGGCCGCCCCCCTCCAGTGAGAACACACCATGGGGCCTCTGCAGCGGCCTCAGCAACAACATTCAGGAGGTTCACGCGAACTCATATTTTTCAAAAATGCACAGCAAGGACTTCTTTAATCCTGTGCAAACGTCAACTGAACTCACTATCTTTTTTCTTTTTTTCGTCTTTTAAATAAAGTATAGAGGTAGGCTTTTTCTTCTTTGTAGAACTTCACGGACTAAAACCTCTGCTCAGTGACTGTGAGTACATTCATAAAGAGCTAAATGAGGTAGGTGTGGAGCAAGAGGGTACAAGATTTCAAGAAAAGTGAAAAAATCCCTGAGATGGATAACTAAGGAGAGCTTCCGGAGAGAATTCAGAGCCGCTGAGACTTGGGGAAGGGAAATATGGCTTCGTCGATTGATTATCAATTTGTAGAGGTCCCCCTTCGTGATCCACACCACAGGCATCCCGATCGGGAATGGGGCATTTTAAATGAAAGAAAAGTTCTGTAGTTTTAATTTCCCTTCACGTCGGCGGGCTCTCAATCCTCCCTCAAGTCGCCTCCTGTTGTGTCTGTCGATTCGTTCTCTCGCCCCCCGTTTCCTTCATCGAGAGAAACCGCTAAAAAGGGACAACGGGGGGAGAGGATGCAAAAAAACAAAAAACAAACAAACAAACAAACAAACAAACAAACCAAACAGTTTTTCCTTTTAGAACTTAAGGATGCGATTATTTCCAAAGTCCACCACCACGATGACCCCGTCGGGCGTCACGGCCACGCCCGAGGGGCGGTCCATTTGTCCAAAGCCACTCCCCTGTGTGCCGAATTTGCATAAGAAGTTCCCGTTGGGCTCGAACACTTGGACCCGGTGGTTGCGGGAGTCGGCCACGATGATGCGGTTCTCCTGGTCCACGGCGACGCCCTGCGGCCGCAGGAACTGCCCGTTCCCGACGCCCTCGGAGCCCAGGAAGCGCGCCGACTGGCAGTCCGGCCGGATGACCAGCAGCCTGTGGTTGTTGAAGTCGGTCACCACCAGGTGGTCCTCGTGGTTGAAGGCCACTCCCCGGGGGGAGTCAAAGTGTTTCCACAGGGCCCCCTCGAAGCCGTACTTGTTGAGGAAAGAGCCGTCGGGGGCGAAGAGCTGCACGCGGTGGTTCCTGGTGTCCGAGACCAGGATCTTGCCCTCGGAGTTGACGGCCACGTCCCAGGGATAGTTGAACTGCCCGTTCTTGGTGCCCTTCTCCCCAAACTTCAGCAGGAACTGGCCCTCAAAGGTAAACACCTGTCAGACAGAGCAAATGCCTTAGGGCCCGACATGAGAGCATGTGTTTACACGTGTGTGTGTGTGTGTGTGTGTGTGTGTGTGGGGGGGCTGAAGAGCTAACTAAGCTCACTTCTTTTGTTTCGTGGAGACTCACACGCTCCACATGTGAGAATCCTGCAGATTCAGGCAGGTGAAAATGTGTCTGCTTCCCCTACCTGCACGCGGTGATTGTCCTTATCGGCCACGATGACTCGCCGCTGACTGTCACACGCCACCCCGGCCGGACGATCAAACTGACCAGGCCGAGAACCCAGAGAGCCAAACTTATGGTGGAAGGCACCGCAGGGCTTGAATATCTGAGTAAGGGGGGGGGGGGGGGGGCACAAGAAATACAAATCATTTGAAGAAAAACCCAACAAAAGATCTTCCTTTAAGCTGCATGCTCAATGTGATGGTTACTTTTCTGCAAATGTACATCCAGCTTCCACATCCGCCATGCAGAGCCCCCATACACGTGTAAGCTCTTTACAACGCAGTCCATTATACAGGGCTGGTTTTAGTTACTAACACAACCTTTTCGGGGCGGAGGGTTTGCGGCGGTGGGGGCGGGCGGGGACGTGCGCTTTTCAACATTCTAACACAGAGTTTGCAAAGCAGACTCTCCGCTGAGTAAACACGCCGACGCCAAAACCAACACGTGTGGAGCCGGTGGGGGAACGACGAGAGGATGATGGACGAGAGGAAGTGCAATTCACCGCCTCGTATCCGCGATGTTCGGTGGCGACGGACGGAAACGAGAGGAAAGGCCACCCGCCCCAGCAAGCTTTCACATTCAATAGTTCAACAGACCATCGACTGTCGGCCGCGTGGCGGCGTGTTCGCGGTGCTCTACCTGTATGCGGTTGTTGCTGCGGTCGGCCACCACCACGTATCCCTCCTTGTCCACGCTGATGCCCCAGGGCCGACACAGCTGACCGTCTCCCTCGCCCTCGCTGCCGAAGGACGACACCTGGTTGCCCAGGGAGCCGTAGCTCCGCCCCGACTTCACCGTCACCTTGAAGGGGCTGCCCTGGATGTGCTGGTTGCACACCAGCACCGACACCAGGTGCTCCCCCTCGCATTTGGGCAGGTAGCCGACGGTGTACGAGCCGTTCTGGTGGTCCGTCACCTCGGCCGCCGACAGGTTGCCGTCTGGCACCGCCACGGCTACCGCGGACACCGCGTCCCCGCCGGAGAGGCGCGGCTCGCCGTCGTGGTCGTAGCCGATGACGGTGAAGGAGGCGGGCTTGCCACGCAGCGCCGTTTTCAGCCCCTCGCCGTGGGCTTTGGTGACCGGGGCGAAGGCCCCGCTGCTGATGAGCCCCATGGACTGGATGGCTACGTACAGAGCCTGTAACCACGACAAAATACACGCCTTTGTTTAGCGGGACGCTGTAGCACGTCTCCTGCTGCCGCTAGCACCGCACCCCGGGCGCCTACCTGGTCTGGGGGGGTGAACATGAAGCGGTCGTCCTCCTGCGCCTGCAGCAGGCCCCTCAGGGCCTTCAGCTCATGGATCTGGGTGAGCATCCGCTCCCTGGCCAGCAGCACGTCGAGGTGGCGCCCCTCGTCCAGCACCTGGCTGACGGCGGCGATGGTGCTGTCCAACTTGGTCAGACTCTGGTGCAGCTTCTCCACCTGCAGGTACAAGGACTTGGCCTTCACCTTACGGATCTTCTCCACCTGGGAAGCAGACGGGAGAACAGGATGTTTACCACCGCCAAACGGGAACTGTAAGTAGCTCAGTTCAAGTAGCAGCAGTCTTCTGTACCTGGAACCTCCCTATTGGCCAAATGTGGTTACCCGCATTCTCTTTTTTTTTGCACATTTGCAACCAGTTGATCCACTGTGTTTCAATTTGCAGGTAAAATGAGAGCAGAAGTACACAAGTCTCCTGGTGCCTCCCCGCCACAGACGTTTACTGACAAGTCGGCCCACAGGATGGCAGCAAAGTGCTGAAGAGCCAAATATAAAGCAAGAAGAACTCTTCCCTCAGCTGACAAAGCTGAAAAAAAAGGGGTACGATAGTATTTTTTGCATTTATTATTTCTTCGGATTGTTGAAGCGTGATCGTCAGCTAACCAGGATGAAGATAAAGTCAGAGTGTAGTCAGTGGGAATAAAAGCCTTAAAAGAAGGTGTTCGATTCTCAGAAGCGTGGATCGGGCTCTCACTTACAAAGAGTCCGACACAATAGCCCCCGTGCCTCTAGAGCTGGAGCAACTATGAACGAAACAAAGGGCCCTGAAGTGAGGCGTCCTTTGTTAATCCCCGGCACAAGTGGAACTCCAATTTGCATCTGTGAGACTCAAGTTGCACTTTATAGTCGCCGGGAACAAAGGCTGGCGTCAGGCTTCCTAATGACATCTAGTTTGAGGTCCTCCCTCAGTGGGAAACACTCACTGGAAGTGTCGGTACGTATTTCACAGGGGGGACTTTGATGACGTCGTATTGAAAGACCCGATAAGTTAAGAGCTCACGTCGACAGAACAGCGGCCTCCCGGGAGTCGGTTTCATCGCACAGTGCAGGAGGTACTGGCCGAGGGGGGCACGGTCATTGGGCTAAAAAGGTCCAAAATCTTTCTCAGTGAGCAAAGCAGGGTAAAAGAAGTTTGCCAAACGAAGCTGTGAGTGACTTTAAATTAGTGAAATCGTTTCACCCCCCCCTCCCAAAAAAAAGCTATCAGATCAATAACAAAAGAAGTCGTTGGCCTCAAAGCAACGGATCAGCACCGCCCTGTTTGCATGCAGCCCTCCTCTGCCCCGGGGGGGGGTCACTGGAACCGGCAACAACAGTAAACATTCTCAAAACTCCCCACGGGCACAGCACCTGCATCCATGAAACATGTGTGTGTGTGTGTGTGTGTGTGTGGTGCCTGTAACGACTTTATCATCAGGTTGGGGATGACAAGCGAGAACCTGTAGCGGTGTAAAAAAGGATTAAAGAGGGAACACGGGTAAATGGAAACCTCCTTTTGTGACACTTTGACCTGCGCACACACACACACACACACACACACACACACACACACACGTGCACACGCACACACACATCTGCGGCAGAGAGACGGAGGTCTGCTTTTCTCTCAGGAGAAGAGGAGATGGGAATAGTTCGGCCGACCGCAGAGTGTGTTGAGGGCAAATCACTGGTTACGTGACGCCAGACCCTGAGCGACACACACGTGTGTGTGTGTGTGTGTGTGTGTGTGTGTGTGTGTGTGTGTGTGTGTGAATGCACATTTTACTGATCTGGTTTCAGGTGCGTTTGTATGCGTGTGAGAGCCTTGACCGGTGCCATTTCATGCATCTGGTGCAGTTTCCTTTTTTATGAGGTAGGGATTTGGAAAACACATTTTAGAGTAGGTGAGGGGCCTCTGGGGTGGTGGGGGGGGGGGAATAAGAGGGGCGGGGTTCTTTCCTTCACTGGTTCTCTGGCTAACTGTAAACCAGGGAGGCCGCTGCAGAGGCTCCTTGGACTCGTTTAGCGTGAATATTACAAATGAATCGGCCCCGAGTGTCCGAAGGAAGAGCCTTTCTGCTGCTTTCAGTGCTCCTGACTGAACAGTGGAGCTCACCTTCCACAGTAGTTCACACTCCCGCTCCTCCAGCGCCTTCTTGTGCCGGAGCACCAGGGCCTTCACCTCAGTCTGCACCACCTTGGCTTTTATCTCCACCTGCTCCGCCATGGCCTGGACCTTCTCCATGCTCAGCTGAGGAAACAAAAAAACACAGTCGTGTTGATATAAAACCCCCAGTAGGCCGATAAGACACGTGAACATTACTCACTCCGCGGCGTCCCAAATGTACGATTAAATCGCCGGGGCGCACTGCGGCCTGTTTTATTACACCGATGGGACACGGAAACAGGAAGCAGGGGAACAGGAAACATTCGGACACCTTCCCGGCCGGCGAACGGCCAAACGGCAGCTCGGTGCTCGTGATCAAGCCTTTCTCGCGTTTGGATGCTCATTTAGAGGGAAATGGGGAAACCCGGCTGAGGAGCGGGAAGTCCCTCCAAACCGCTCGCCATGGAGCAACTTCCTGCTGTGCTTCCTCCCCTGCTCCGCGTAGGACATTCAATTGAACGGGATATAATGTGTCAATATAGTTGACATATTAATTAAAAATATGTGGAGCAAATGTGTATTTTAAGGCTGATCCGAGGAACCATGTAATGTCCCTTTAAGTTACTCTGCAGGTCCTGGTTGGTGGTCTGGTGGTCTCCTTTACAGGCATCAGCATGAAACTGAGACATTTAAAAACTCCTCACAGTAAAATGTAATTAGTGTTTTCACTGTTGGTAAAGTTCTTCATCGGGTTCGGTACGACAGCCACGTGCGGAAAAAAGGGAAAAATGTGTTTGGATTTCCTTAAACTAGTGTTTCTTTTTTAAGACATTTCACAGGAAAACACAGCGTTCTCAACGAGGAGTTTACGTATTTCCTGATGCTACAGGGACAGAGTAGCGACTGTACGGCTTATTTAAAAGGTCCCAGCTTTTACAACCCACAATTTGGGCTAAATGCCCATTCCTCTCTTTGTCCCCCCCCCCCCGGCCCCCCGGGTTTTATCTGGCCTTTTCCTCTGGCATTTTCTGGAGGGTCACAGGGTGAACCGGACCTCACAGCGACGAAGGGGAGGTGGGGATAAGGCTTCTCTTTGTGGTATCGGCCGCAGGGATCAAAGGTCATCTAAACCTCTACAGGTCACGATCTGCAACCCCTGTCTTGAGGCGCATACCCCCCCCCCCCTCTCCACCCCGCCCTGCCAACCGCACCCCCGCAGGAACAAAGCCCGGCAGCGGGGCCCTATCTCTTTCGTCTGGCCATTTGAGGTGGGCAGCTAAAAGAGTCAAATAAATCAGGCCCCCAGAGAGGGAACCGCAGGGGGGGGCAACGCTGGGCGTGTTATCAATACAGAGGGAGGACGCAGGCAGGGTACAATATAACCCCCCCGCCCCCCCCCCCCTCGCCTTCCTCCAGATGGCCTTATGTCATCCTTTAAGCTGGTTTTCTCTATTCATTGGTTTTTCTCCATCATTGTTCTCCTTCCTCCTCTGATGTGGTCGCGTTTCCCTCCATCTTGTTCACATTCGGTCTCCGTGTCCCCGGCCGATCTCTGTCCCGTCTCCTCCTAAACATTCCCAGAAGAGCACAGCCGGGCACACAAAGAGGGTCAAACTGACCAATCGGGGCCGCAGGAGGGGGGGGGGAGGAGCTCCGGCCAACCGGGAGGTCACGAGCCCGGGGTCGAAGGTCAGGGAAGATAATGTGTGCGGAGTGAGTGGAAATTTCCTACCTCGGGGGACGGGAGCGTGTGTGTGTGTGTGTGTGTGTGTTTACAGATTATCTGGCGTCAGCATTTATCCCCCATGGTGACCTGGGACCAAATGGACAAACATGTGATGTCCTGCCAGATGGTCGACGCTGTTGCTTTTGATCCCGCTGCTTCTCATTAAATCAAGATATCGAGCCGCTGGCGACTTGACTCCCGCTGGTCAGGAGCAAGAGGTTTTATTCGCCCTTTTTCTGCATGCGGCCTGGTGTGTCGCGTGACTCGGCATGACCTGCCGTATGGTGGAACTCGAAGGACACCCAGAGTGAAACAAGCGGCCGTCCGTTAACGCACAAAAAGGGTCAAGCTCCACTGAGGAGATGTGAGCGACCCACCGCTGTTGAGCAACATCAGGGCGTCTGCAGCGGACGAGAAGTTTTAAAGGTAAACTGAAGATGCAGACCTGATCCTCCAGAGTCCATGAGACAAAGTGCAGACGCTCACATATCTAACGGAACCTTAACGAAAGCCTTTTGCCAAACAACTCCCGTCAGCACAGATGGCGCTTTTGGACACGGTGAAAAAACGTCCGACTAGTTTGGGTCGTCAAAACTGCGTGAAACCTCTCGTCCCCCCCTCTCGAGTATTAACAGGAATCAACGGGGGGGGGGGCTTGACTTGCAGGGCACTGACACCCATACTATAATTACCTTATTGAAGACGGTGTGTTTTGTTGGAGTGAGAGAGGTTGGGGCAGTGAGTGATTGGCTGGGTAAGTGACTGAAACGAGGTCGTAGAGCAGAAGAAGAATGCAAAGTCCTTCCACTTCTTAAAAAAAAGAAAAAGGGCGTTTTCCTTTCTCCGAAATCCTTTAAATACCTCACCCCTCCCCCCCCCTTTGCCGCTACTCCTCCCCTCTGACCCTCAGCCCTGCCCCCCGGCAGACCTCACCCCGTGTGACCCTCCCCCCCTTCCCTCAGGGCCAGCTGGACACCTTTAACCTCTGGCTCCTCGGGACTGGTCACTCTCAAACACAGCGGAGAGCCGACGAGGGGGGAGGCCGGAGAGAGACGCAGCTGCTCCCCCCTCCTCCCCCCTCCGCTTCTCCTCGGCCTCCCCAGGAGCTCGGTGAGCCTGGACACGTGTGCTCCGACCTGCCAGGCCGTTATCTTCTTACGTCGGCATCGTGCGTGTTCTTTGCAATGGTTCAGATATCGCTTGAACCAGCGGGAGCGATCGTCTCAGCGGGGCACTAATGTATCCGCCCACGTACTTGGTAATAAGATGTACTCGTTATACAGGTTGCACGTTCCCCGTCTCACCTGCACGGCCTGGCGTCCCTGCTGAGCGTCCGCCAGCAGCTGGATGGTGACGGCCCGGCAGTCCTGCACGGCGTCCTGCAGGTAGACGAAGGTGTGGCCCATGTGGCGGCCCACGCTGCACTCGCGACAGATGGGCACCGAGCAGGACTCGCAGAAGAAGAGGAACACCTGAGAGAACAGGGGAGGTGGGCGGACGGATCAGGCGTGCGTTCAAAATTAGGTTCGGGAAGAAAGAAAGACGGGGAAAAGAGCGGAAATATGATAAACGGCAGAAAGGTTGACGGCGCGATCACACCTTTACACTCAAATTAACCAAAGGTTTGAGCTGTTAAATGCAAATCGATCTTTTCCAACTGTCTCATAATCTCTCGGGTAACAGTTCTGATGCACGTCATAAAATCATAAATATACAACCATATATGAATGTTTAAAGGGTTTAATTATGACACTTGCATGAAAAATCATCTTAAAAGGCAATTGTTTACCAAACTGATGAAAACTATTTAAGCGGTTTAAAAGCCACAGAAGAATTTAAATATTTTATTTGAGTAAATGGGAATTTTCCCAGTGGGGAACAACTTTTTCCTGATTGTTCGAGACAAACACAGAAGTGTGGCGTGTTTTCTTGTGGACAGCGTGATGGAGAACCGCACGTTACTTGTATCTGCGTTGTGATATCGACCCGCTGCTGATGTGACAATGTGGTCAGAGCTTTAATAAACGTCTTCCTCAGGCTTCCTGCGGCAGGAGGGCGACGCCGCCCTGCGGAAGCTAATGTGGCTTTTCATGCTGGAGTCACGCCGACAATGAAATTAGACCGGCAGGATGAAAGCATCAATCAGCGTGAGCCTCCTCCCTCCCCCCACCACCACCACCACCACCTCCCCCCGGCCACACAAAGCTAATTAATGAGAAAAGACCATGAATGATAAACATGTCATCCGGTTACCGGGGAGGCTCATCAGAGGTCTTCTCTTTCAAAACAAGAGCCAGGGAGAAGCAGAGGGACCGAAGGGCCACCAGAAGACACTAATCCTCAACATCTGTGCGGGGGGGAGATGTTCCTCAAACAAATGTTACCTGAAATACTCAGAAGCTTGTTGGTTTAAATATACATCTACGTATAAACATCACGCGTGGGTTAAAAGGGAAACACGTCCTTCAGTTAGAAGGAAGAAACGTCCATCAGATTTGCTTTAACGCTCTTATCTGGATGCAGATTGTGTGTAATGGAAGACTAATGAAATATACACGAGTCATCATATCCCAAAGAGACACCAGATGAATGCCTGCCCCCCTCCCCCCGAGACCGGAGTGGTCAGGGAGGGGCCTGCAATCAATCCATCAATCACAGCTGCCCCCCCCCCCCGGGGAGCAGCACAATCTAATGACACACACACACACACACCTCCCCCTATATCTGACTTCCTCCTCCCTCAAGCCTCCCTTGCATCCTCGTCTTTGCGTCTCCCTTTCCGCTGAGCCCCCGTCTGCCGTCTCCGCACCTCAGCGCTCTTTGCTCATCCCGCCCTCGTCGCCGAATTCCAGAGGGACGTGACACACAAAGGGCAGGAATGCAGCTGGGCCTGAGTGGAGGAGGAGGAAGGTGGGGACGGACGATGACGGGCTCGGGGCGTTTAGGTGGATGAATACCTACTGGTGGCTCTCAGGGTCGACCTTTAAACGCCGGCTGCCGCCTCAACAAGAGCCTCCAAAATCAAACCACTCAGAGATGCTCCAGCGTTGGAGATGTTGAGCCGTTACCGGAGGCTCTTCAGGGTTCGTGCTTGGTCTCATTAACGTTTACATGCGCTTCACTGCGGTGGACACCGGCTGAAATGTTGTGGATAAAACGCACAAAAATCATCTAATATTTAACGTCGGTGCACTTTGGTTTTTGGCGGAAAATATGAAAACTAAAAGGATAAAAAAAAGAAAAAATGTAAATCGCTTCCTGGAAATGTGGATTTCCTGAAGGTCCTACGTACTAAAATATCACAGCCAGCGGAATCAATTATAAGAAAAACAATGTCAGTGCATTTTAAGATCGATACGACCGATTAGAATTGATATGGACCATTCAGAAACCAATGCCGAATCATCTCACGTCCACATTTATTTATGCAGACAGAATATGAAGAAAAGGAAAACAGAGCAGCAGACGCCCGTTATGAATGAGGCCTGTTTCACAGAACGAGGTCACGTGACAAATAGCTGCAACAGGCTTATGGAATCGTAACGTGGTCACACACACACACACACACACACACCTTGGAAGAAAAAAAAAGGGAAACTCTCATTCATCCCACGAGGGAGCGAATTCTCTGCGAGCCACAAAGTACAGCTGCTGCCTTCCACATGTGGCACGGGGGGCGGAGCCGGGAAGGTCACAGCGGCGCCGCGCCGGAGAACCTGGAACGTGCGAGGACTCCGCAGACTTCCAGTGTGCGTGTGACGTGGAGGCGGGGGAGGGGAGGGGAGTGTTTCGGAAAGACATAAAAAGGAAGGGTGGAATGGGCGTGGTGTCATGCTAATTAAGTTGTAAATTCCACCCTGGGGGGGGCGGGGGGGCTTTCAGGCGGAGGTGACTCACCCACAGAAGGCTTCCCACACATCAACATGCACACAAAAGAATAAAAAAAAAACAGAAATACGCGAGTAGGGAAAGCAAAGCGGTTTGGTTTTAGGACGTCGGGCCGACGGCAGGAAAACAAAACCCGGACCTCGGAGCGCCGCGTTATTGGATTTCATTAGTGCGCCGGATGCCCCTCATCCTCGCTCAGTCCATTACGCTCCTCCATGTGGGAACTACGCTCACATGTTGGGAGGGGGGGGGGGGGGGGCGTGAAAATGTCTCGCCATAAACCAAAGCAAAGGACCTTTGTTTTTTTTCTTTCTGCCATTTACAAGAAACATTAGAAAAACTATTAATGGATTTACCAAAAAGAGGAAAAACACATTTGATCTTCAATTTGAATCATTTTTTAATATATTCTCAAAATAATTGACTAAATGAATCGGCAGCTGCATCACGGATGAAATGAATTCCAGTCATTTGAGTAACTCGCCGGAGTGTAAAACTACAAAGCACCCGAGACACACGAGACGCGGCGAGGGGACAGAGACGTCGTAAATCTGCAACACAACACACAGAGTAATCTGAGGAGGAAAACGGCACTAGAAGAAATCCATGATGGCTTTGATGCCCCCCACCCTCCCCCTCCCCCCGCGTAGGCACTGGGAACTGTGGGAGAGGACACGAGCTAGCCAGTAAAATCCGGCCCTCGCTGGCTGCGTGCAGGACGTGCAGAGCGGGGGGAGGGGACGGGGGTCGCGTGGTGTCACACCGAGGTGCCAGAAGGGGGGGGTGGGAGAGACCAGAGCCGAAGGCTCAGTTCTCTCAGAGGCGCTTTATGCGAGACGGCCCGAGACCGTCTGCAGCGGGGACGTCCAACTGGTTCGTGTCCCGCCGGGTCGCATGCCAGGTAGGAGAAGTGGACTTCCTCCGCCCCCCCGGGAGGTAGAACTAGATCATTGTGGTCACAGTACGAGAGGAGTACGCGGAATGTCTCTGGAAAGGAAATGAATTAAACTTTAGAGAAGCTATACTCTTAGAGGCCTGATCTGTATTTTCCTCTGTCAGAGATGAGGTCAGATGTTTCCTTTCGGGATTCGAGGTTTTACAGCAGCAGTGTGCCGTGAAAAACAAGTTTAATATATTATTATTTTAACCCTGAGAAACAAAACAGTTCGAAAGCACAACGCAAAGTGGGACGATCCATCATCTCACAACAAACAAGGGAACCGTCCAGCTACATTTTGGTATTTGCTTGAACCCTTTTTGACTTTTTTTAAAAGCTTGTTTTTGCTGCGGGGGGATTAACCGTGTTGACCGTAAACGTTCTTTTCTCGTCATAATCCTTAACGCCGTGGGCCTGTGTGCTTTACCACTGAGAGGTGTGCACACAAACAAACACACAACAAAGGGAGGCTTCTTAGTCCGTGTGCTCATCAGCTTCACACTAACATTAACAAAAGGTGGTTTTCTGTTGAGGAAAGACGAGCTTTATTTAAAACAGTCGTCTTAGAGTAGATGTCTGACCTTATTCCCACTCACTCTATAACAATTATGTATACGTACAAAATTAGCTGCTGAGAAAGATGCATATATTCCACAGATGACAGAAATGTGAGCTCAGGCCGTATAACACATATTTGAAAACCAATGTCCCTTATTTAAAAATAATGAAATGCTTTTTTTCCCTTTGAAGAATGTTTCAGACATGGAAATAAAAAGCGGATTTAATAAAAGACATCAGGCCGCAGATTTGAATCAAAAGTAAATCCGCCGAGTACTCGAGAGGTTTGATGACAGACGCATGAACTCCGCCAGTAAAGCTTATTTCACCAACACGCCAAATATTACAGGGATTACACTGCGGAGCGTTGCGTACTGCTGGAGTAGAACTGGATCGGGCCAATGGAGGGAATGTAAAACAGGCTTTTCCTCTGGGAATGAAGACGGATGACGGATGATTCCGAGCGCCGGGCTGGGAACCAGCAGAGAGCTTAGCGGAGGTACTTTACTCATGACGGGACGGGTCTGGTGCGTCCGCCACGGATAATCTGGGGAGCACCCAATCCCAGCATTCCTAGCAATCCCGGGAGCGCCGCCATCTGCCAGAAACAACACCCCCCCCCCTTTTGTATTGAACTCGCATTCACCCCCTGTAATCTTTTACAAACACCCTCCATATCGAAGCTCGCATGTGGGGTTCCCCCCCTCGTCCCGCCCGTGTTCTCCCATTGCAACTCCTGACGGACACAAAACACACACACGGCGATGTTTTCAAACGCGGCCACATACGAGGGCGGCGGCCGCGATCCGGCCGTCTCATTGGACGGCCGGACGGGAGCGAAAACAAACCACAGTCAGCTGGCCTTCCTTAGCCAGAGCGGAGTGTGCTGAGCGTATTAATGCCTGAGCGGGGGAGAACAGAGAGACGGGGGAGGAGGAAGTGGACTGGTCGGGGGGGGGGGGCAGAGCAGTGTGAATGAAATGTGGCGCAGCTGAGAGACGCGCGCCTGTGCAGTCGGCTGTTTGTGGTAAGCGAGACATTAGTGAGCATTGACGCTTGATGACACACACACACACACACACACACACA